GACAGGCCACAGGACCTCACAGCTCACTGGACACGAAGTTGGTAGCTCACTACCGACAGGACGTAGATAACTCGATGCAGCGATGGTCGTAGTTAATTGCGATGGTCGTAGTTAATTCACTCCAACTGAACACGGAGTGGGTAGCTCACTACCGACAGGACTTGTATAACTCGATGCATAGATGGGCGTAGTTAATTCACTGGGACTGAACAGGACGTTGGTAACTTGATAACGGACAGGGCGTAGTTAGTTTGCTGTAACTGGACACGACATTGGTAACTTCATACATAGCAGGACGTAGTTATTTCACTGGAACTGGACAGGACGTTGGCAACTTGATAACGGGCAGGGCGTAGTTATTTCACTGGAACTGGAAACGAGGTTAGTTACTTGATAACGGGCAGGACGTAGTTATTTCACTGGAACTGGACAGGACGTTGGCAACTTGATAACGGGCAGGGCGTAGTTAATTTGCTGTAACCGGACGCGACGTTGGTAACTTCATACATAGCAGGACATAATTATTTCACTGGAACTGAACAGTACGTTAGCAACTTGATAACGGGCAGGGCTTAGTTAATTTGCTATAACTGGGCACGACATTGGTAACTTCATACAGGACAGGACGTAGTCATTTCACTGGAACTGAACAGGACGTTGGCAACTTGATAACGGGCAGGGCGTAGTTAATTTGCTATAACTGGGCACGAGGTTAGTAACTTGATAACGGGCAGGGCGTAGTTATTTCACTAGAACTGAAAAGGACGTAGGTGGTTGATGGAGTTACTGGCGTATGCAACTCATATAAACTTGATACACGGTGGCAGCGGGCTCCGACATTGAAATACGGGAACATGCGACGATGGTTGTAACTTCACTAAAGTTGAATAATAAGAATGTTCTTGCACTTTACCTCAAGTATGAAAATAACGAGGTTCACCAATCCCGGATGAGAAGCCCCCATGTCAACTCCTAACGTCTTCTTGGATTGATTACATTCGTCAGTTCTTTCATACGTTGAAGCGTCGTACTATTCTCACTATCATAGATCAAACTCAACTCCTTTTGATAATAACTATAACTTTAATATCTAAGTAAATATATAAACATCCTATCACTCCAAGGTTCCACTCAAGACTGCCGCACGACTAAAACATACGTCACAACACTGCATAGACAATACGTCACGACTCAGCATAAAAATACGTCATAAAGACAATGGCGGGAAGAGCGTTCACTAACTATAATAGACAAGCGCGGGAAAAGCGTTCAACAACTAATGAACATAATATTGAGTCGCAACAATTCATAATGAACGCTCATACTCGACAAAGTTGATCAGCTCAAAGGTACGTGAGATCACAGACAGCATATAATAACAGACCTTGTGCTGTAATGACAAGTGTGCTCAAATGTTAAGGGGCGAATCGGCGAAAATGTTTATTTTTGAGTTTTTCTGGGTTTTGATATATTTGGTTTCAAAAACCTTTTATTTAAATTAATTATTAAAAGATATTAGAAAAGTTTTTATATTATTTTCCTAACCCAATCAATGGATACATGTAGCATTAAACAACTCAAAAAGCAAAATCAAGGTTCAGGGAGAATATTCAAGGGAATTTCAGATTAGACGAGACCTAAGACAAGACTGTATTGTATGATATTTAACCTAAAATTAGATAGAGAGTTATAAGAAGCATAAATATTTACACCCGAGGAACAATAGCAGGATACTTTTATAGGCAGACCCAAGACCCACAACCAATGGGAACTCTCTGAAATCAACCCTTTCTATATCAGGATCCCACGCGAGTAGCAGGGCATGCAGGACAGTTAGAAAGAATGCCAAATGACAGAGGAGTGAAGAGGGTACATCACCAAAACCCCAGAGGGAAACGGCTCAAAGGCAGACCTAAGCTTAGATGGATGGATGATGTGTGAAAAGTGGGAGGCACCACACGGATGGATGGATAGAAGGAAGTGGTGAGGCAGGCTGAAGCTCTACATGGGCTGTAGAACCGCAAGGGTGGATGGTCTGAATGGAAGGAAGTGGTGATGTAGGCTAAAGCCTTACATGGGCTATAGAACCACAGGGGTGGATGGTCTAAATGGAAGGAAGTGGTGAGGCAGGCCAAATCCCTACATGGGTTATAGCGCCACAGGGGTCGATGGATGGAAGTGGTCAGGCAGGCCAAAGCCCTACATGGGCTGTAGGACCATAGGGGTGGATGGTCTGAGTGGAAGGAAATGGTGAGGCAGGCCAAAGCCCTACATGGGATCTAGCATCACAGCGATGGATGGAAGGAAGTGGTCAGGCAGGCCAAAGCTCTACATGGGCTGTAGATCCATAGGGATGGGTGAATAAATGTCTAAAATATCATTTTGTAATTTGTACCGATTCGATTCATGTACTTAGAATCGCCCAACCGACCATATCGTATTTTGTATCAATGGAAAGCTTTATTCTCGGAATTTAGATAAATAAAGCTTCCTGTCACTTACGAAATTTACCGAACTAATTATAGGGTCATCCCTATTTCTGACGCACCAGTCTTGCACTTTTAATAAAGCACCATTTGGATTGGTTACATGGGTGGAAAAGTTATGAATGATTGGTCATCCTTTTATGGAAGTCTGTTAGACCGAGCGGTGTGTGCTCTGTAAATATGCAATTTTCCCCTTTGGTGTCACCCCTTAGATTGTGTCACCCTATGCGTTCCGCACCTCCCCCCCCCCCTTCCAGGTACGTCACTGGATAAGACCCAGGAGAAGCAGACATTTCATGAAGATTAACTTTAAAAAATGATTTAATTTATATGCAGTCATTTTGTGCATATAATGTAAGATCATTAAGTTCAATGAATCTCTTTCATATTTAAATTACAATTACTTTATTTCACACCGACCCTTGGAATTGTGGCTCAAATACATGGATTCGTTTGATCTTTGATGTCCATCACTGCAACTGTCTTATCACAGAGTATATATTATAAAAGAAAATAAATTCGATAATTCTGAAAAAAAAAAATAATTATGGAAAGAAAAATCTTTGAAAATAAGGTTCACCTTATTGTTTTGTTTTATTTGAGTTTGACATAAAAATTGGGCTTTTGTGTTTTTGTTTTTTTTACCCAGTAGATAAGTTTGAAAGCTTTTTCATATCTTGACGTTTTGGACATCAAAAGTAGCGTCACTAGGGGGTGCGTGGACCGCACCTGATGACACCAACACAAGTGGATGACACCTCACGGGGGATGACACCAAATAGAAAACAGTAAATTTGACAGAGCTCGAACAAGTCGCTTTCATAACATATTTAAGTTAAATACAGGAGCAGGCAGACTTGGATGTCGCTGGGGAACTTTGAATGCGGGGGGGTATTAAGTTAAATACAGGAGCAGGCAGACTTGGATGTCGCTGGGGAACTTTGAATGCGGGGGGGTGGGGGGGGTGGGGGGGCGGGGGGTGACACAATGAATTTACCCCACTGGATTACGTCACTGAGCTTAAGATGAAATAGAGACCTAAGCCAAAATAACATAAGCGTTACGTGAGCTAATGCTAGCTGCCGAGCCACTACCAATACGTCACACAACATGGACGGTGCGTTTGTCTAGTACTATTAGACAAGATGCAGTATTGTAAAATTTCAACAAAATTCATAAAAAGTTAATTAACACTTTTTTAAATATAATTTTTACTTTTGAGTCCTCATTACTGTCTAGTTTTTTTTTTATTAGCTCCATTTGGAATAATATAGAACGGTTCCCCGACCTTTGATACAAATGAACTTTTTTTTTTTCGGTCATTATGGCCCATCTTTGATCCGGCAATGGCCCAAGTACATTTTGACCAGCCTGGTCAGTACGAACCCTAGCCACTGTTTAGCAGACACTGACCCATCAGGTTAGCTTTTTAGGGGTATTTTGCTTTGTCAAAAAGATTTAAAAAAAAAATAAAAAAAAAAAAAAAAAAAAAAAAAAAAAGGTATATCCAACTATGTTGAATGGCGAATGGGCTTGGTTAGATAGCTCTTTTGTCCAAATGTGTTTGAGGCCAATGAGTCCGCCATGTCAATTTGGTCAACACTTCCAATAACAGTGACAAATGCTCAGGGAATTGCTGGGAGAAGCCATTTGAAGTTCAAACTCATAAAAACCATCTTAAGGTTCTCTAGATAGTTTGGCTGGTTTTGCTACATTATTCACAGAGAACAAATTGCACAAGAGTTGGATAGGACTGAAATTATTTAGGATTTTCCTTCCGCAAAACCAAGAAAATCAGTTTTCTTGAAATAAATTTCGTTTATTAATAATTATGTTCAACATTTTCATAAATTTCCAATGGAGAAATGAAAGCAATAGCTTGTGTTCAGTTTGTAGTAAGTGTATCCTTGGTGGCAGGGGTGGAATAGGTGGTTAGGTGGAGGTCAATATATTGGCAGATTCAGAGGATGAGTGTGTAACACAGACATGAAAAGGACCACACAACAAATTCAGATGCATGGATAGAATCTATGATGATAATGCAAGATTTTTATGTGTCCCAACTTGCTTATTAAGTGGGTGGGAGCCAAAATCATTTTGGAATAGTTTTGTTTCTTTTTTACTCAATAGTCCCTACTGATTAGTTTGAGAAAATATTTTATCTGGTGTTGAATAGAAAATGACTGAAAACTATAGGCAAGTTGTTTTTGTTTTCATACATTTTTGAGTTGTCAAAGTAGACACCTTTTATATTTGTATTTAAAAAAATTATTACTAGCCATTCTGATTTGAAAGTTAGATCAAATGTTTTTACTTCATTATGTGTGAAAGTCTGATGGTAAGTATAAGATAGGACTAAATCGGACAAGCTGTTTTGACTCATATTTCCACCAGTCCTGGACAGTGCTGCATTCCTTGGTTCAAACAACCTCACTACAATCACAAGTAAACACTAACCCTAAACTCTAGAAATCAGAAAACAAGAGATGTTCAAAGCAGGACATCGCTCAGCAGATCCACACGACAAATGACACAAGATCAAATCATTTGGACAATGTTATAATTTTGCATTCAGGTCAAATTAACAAAAACAATGCATTTTGATGATTTTGGACAATGGTTACCATCAAATAAAATATTGGAATACACAAAAAAAAAAAGCATAAATTAAAAACGTCACAGTCTTGAAAACATCTACAGCATAAATGTACATCCACATTATCTTATAGTCTATATAAGTTAACAAGGTTATTCTGTCTGGAAGAAATGGCATGAACATGTTCAAGTAAAAACACACATTGCGAATGGAGGAATAAAACAATAATTTGTGTTCACATTCTGTAATATGTGTATCCTTGGTGGTGGGTGCATTGTGCTTATATGGAGTTGATTGAATCCAGTGGCAGATTCATAACAAGGGTATACAACATAATATCAAGTGGACAACAACAAAACACAAAAAAAAACAAATTCAGAGACAATGACATGAACATTTCTTAGGACAATGTAACATTTTGTGTGGTGTCCCACATCAAGTCTGTCAATGATTAAATCCAGCTTGCCAGCTTACTTGAAATAAAAAAATTCTGCAACCAAACAGAATATGATCATCAAACACAAGAGAATGACTATTGTATAAGCCACTCATTACAAGTGTAAGTAGGTAAGCTTATTTAAAGAGCAAGTATTACATAGTACCAACAGTTTCCCAAATATTAGCCTTGTTTTACAGTATTTACAATAATCATTACCTTCATATTTGGAAGTGAAATAGAAAGATGAGGCAAATCTTGTATCTTGATTGAGATATGTGCTCATTAAAATGAAATCAGTTACCTTATGATATTTAACTAATTCCAATAAATATAAATGAACATATGTGTAAATAAGGTACAAACTATGAGACGCAATTAAAAAAATTAATTAACGCTACAACTTAATTCAAGTATCACAATGAAAAATTATGTTAGTGACTTCTTGTCAAACACCATTGTGGTAACATGTTTTGTTCAATATTATACACATGATTAAACCTAATATGTTTTCAACTTGTTTTCAAATTGGGACCTGGTTGTTCATAGCTCTGCATTCTTCAGTCAAATCTTCTTGCAATATCCACTCACACTGTAGTCCAAGAGGAAAGTGTGATTAGTAATTCATCCAAACATCAGAATAATAAGTATGCAGACATCAACACTTTACAGAATATACATTTGTGACAGAAGTTCAATCCATCTCATTGTATCGTGCATACATTGTCTTCTTTAGGGCATCTCTGTAGTTATCTCCAACATCAGCTACAACATTAGCTCCCCTGGCACCCAGACCTGCCATTTGGTTCCTTCGTCTAGCCTGAAAATTTATCAAGACAAATTTTTTCAAATCACTTAAAACTCAAAAACATAATAGGAGGCTTTAAAATCTTAAATTAAATACCTAATAGCTTGATCAGGGCCAATTCTTTCCCTTAAAGTTAGGACTGAAAGAATTTACCAGCATGCTTCCACGCAGTTACCAAATCTAAATGATCAACAAGTCATTCTTGTCACTTCAACAAGTCCTCCTCGTCACTAAGATTTACACTAGAGAAATATTGTAGATGTCTTGTGTTTAAATTGTAAAATGTTATTTTGGTTAAAATAAAATTCTTTCATTGATCCAAACAAATGGAAATGTTTTATGATTGCAGTATCATCCAAAATGTGTTTAGTTTACAATAACATCTTTCTTCAAATAGTTCCTCCAGCCTAGGATGTTTAGTTTGTGTTATGTTCCTAGCTTTTTATATTAGTCGGTTTATGTGGTGTTTAATATCAGATGTTGAATTCCCACACCAGCAGGTAATACTGAATTAAGCAGGTTTCCTATTGTTGCACTGTAGAATTAGTTAAGAGTTGTTTGTTTATGCCGAAATTGTCAGTTTTTTGAGGTAGAACAGTCTTTGGTTGAATTTCTTATACAGCATTTGGCCGTGCTCATGCCATGTTAGCTTATTTATTAATGGTCTGAAAATGAATATGTACAATTACAAAAAAAAATCCATTTATTTGGATCAATAAAAGAATCCTATCAAATCCACAATGATCAGTTTCATACAGCTCTGGACTGCACTATTAAAACAACCGAAAATGGTTTAAAAATCTATTGATATAAAGGTATCAGTTCTTTTTTTTCTAGATTCTGCGAAAGAATGTATCTGAAACCGTTTGATCTTTACTATGAAATACTATTCAACTGCCTTAGCGGTCACTATGCATTTGGACAGACTGGGAGGCTTTACAATTTTTAAACCAAAGGAAAAAAAGCATCATTTCAAAAGTTTGCATTCATGACAACCCACCTCAATAGGATCTGTTCTTCCTTGATTTGCCTTGCCAAGCCCCATCCCTTGAGACCATCCCATTTTCTGTAGAAGTTTGTTACCAATATTGTCGTCTCCTAAACCTTTCTTTGTTGGCTCCTCAAAACTGAATAAGTTTTTGTTAAAAAAAGGAATAATTTTATTAAAGCTTTAACACTCTTTCGGGTAAAAATCATAGAGCAAAAACTTAATATAAGTTTTAAAAATTTAATTAATCATTGCTTACATTACTGGTTCTGGAATTTCGAAATCTCTGTCTTTTCTCTTCCTTGGTTCAGGTGGTTCTGGTGCTCCATATTTCTGCCTTCGTTCTTTTGCTCGATCTCGGTACTATAAGAGTTAATATTAACATTACATCATCAACCAAGAGTTTTGTTGAGTTAACGGGCAGAAGCTAACAAAATATCCCAAATGATTTTTTAATTATTTCTCTTTCAAAATTCAGATCTGAATGTAAATGCTACACAAAACTTTCATCAGGAAATTTTTTTTTACCTCTATTTTACCAGCACTGGATAAACCTTTGGACTTCACAAGAGCTTCCAAATTTTGCTGGAGAATGAAACAAAAGGATCACAATACTAAAAGTTTTGACAAATTAAAAAATACTACACTTCAGAGACATCTCAGTGAATTTTTAAAAACATTATAATGTACTTGACAAACCTTGTGCAGTTCAGAAACTTGTGTGTGTTTGCTAAGAATTTCCTTGGATTGAAATTGTCGCTTGCATAAAAGACAAGCCAATTTAGCCCAATCTACAAGCTTTGATTCATCTAAAGGGGCAGACGAATCATCCTCATCGCCACTGTCACTATCACCTCCATATGAAGCAACAAGTCCAGGTTTACCGGAGGATGAAGGTTTGTCAGTCTTCTTGGGTAGAAAATAAAATTCACATTAAAACATAGTTACAAAATTGAATCTTTTTTTCACACTACACGGCACTGGTAATAGAATATTTTAATTTAACCCTTTAATTTTTGTCTATCCATTATCCATTTTAGTAATAAAATTGTTAACCTATTATAGGTTTAAATGGTCTTTATAGTAGGAACTTCAATTATCAGTGGTCTTATATAAAAAACACACTTAATACTGTGTAAGTTTCAGTGACAAACAATATTTACTTTTGTTTAATGTCTTAGAAATTATTTGCTGCTTATCAAAATAGACGTAATATCAACTTTTAAATATTATCTCCTATAGATACCAAATACAAGAATCATTTAATTTATTAGGTACTTTCATGATAGCTCTTCGAATGGAAAAGTTTTTTTTAGGAAATAGGCTTTGGTATTTTGATATTTGTCTGATGTAATTTTTTAAAACTTTAATTTTGAAGCCTTTCATTTTTGTAATTACATTTTATCCTTGCACCTTAAAAATAAAAATTGACTTGGATTACCATTTTTGATGATAATTATAAGAATAATATAAATATTTTAGTCATATTCATGACATACCAATGAGGACCAGAAAAGTTTTACTGGTATTGGAAATGGGCATTTATTATTTAGGTTGTTTGCTTTCTGTTAGGAAAATGTGTCTTTAAATTGTTATCAGTAGTCATGTGCCTTGATTTTTGCACTTGGTAATTAATAGATTACAAAATAACATTTGCATAAATAGATTAAAAAACGTTAATGCATTTTGCAAGCCTAATAATTCTAAATTATTTCATAAATTTGAAGTAGTTTATGAAAAGCTCAGAAATTAACTTTATCCTGGAATAATTTTTTTTAAATGCCAAAATGAAAAGAAATAAAATTTGTATGTACAAACCAACGAATGAAAATTGTTTTCAAAACAGATAATCAGAAATCCATTTTTTTTAAACATCCTTAACAAGATATGCAGTGAAACTTTTTGTCTTTGCATATTCAGATCGAAGGTATTATATAAAATATTAGTTCTTACTATTGCTAACTAACTAAAACTGAAAGATATTTAAATAATTATGCAGTTAAATAAGACAATTTACTTACAGTTAATGGAGGAGGAGGCATCATCGACATGTCCTCTTTCTGTTGAGAATTAGGTTAAACACACATTGAAAACCCAGCACTTAAAAATATATTAAATCACAAGCAAGATTTCTTTGGGGATAATTTGCAATTGCAACTAGGTAAATCTGAGCATTTTAAACATTATTTTAACTTTACATTGAATTTAACAATGTTAAAAAAATTGTAAAGTTGAAAAAAATCAAATACACACTGCTTTTTGTAGCATAGCAAATCCTGCATCAGCAGCAGCTGATTCTTGTTTAAAAGACTGTGCTGAGCCTGGCAGTGGTATACCTCCAGGTATTTTCCTTATTCCTTCTTTCTGAGCTTCTTTTTGTGCATTAAGACTCTTTGCCCATTTCTCCATATCCTATAAAAGTAAAATAAAAATCTGGTTTTACTTCCTTAACATACTCCTCCCAATATTATTACCTTTTTCTCCTAAAATCTCACCTTAGTTGAAACCATCAAAAAGATCATTGTAGCAATATCTATTTAAATTAATGTAGAAATCAATATTGATGAACTTGTCATTAAATTTAACTCTCAATCCTACTTTAAAATAGGCTCCTTTGCCTAGACAAAAGAATTAATTGGTGAATTATAGGTGAATATAAAAAAAGTAAAGTGGAATAAAATTACTTTCTTACTATATGTATAAATTTGGAAGCCTTAACTACTTACTCTTTTAATCGTAAATCTATTTAATACATCTAGTACGACTTAAAGTAAATGTTAACTGTATCTACTTGTAAATCAGTAATCCCAATAAATCCCAGTATAAAATCCAGTTTTTTTCCATTGTATAAATTCTCCTAACCTTAGCTATCTTCTTTGCAATTTTGACTTTTTCTTTATCCTTCTTTTCTTCTTTTCCATCCTTTTTCATTAGTCCATCAGCACCATCCTCTCTGCTTCCATCATCACTTGTAGGGGCTGGTAAATATGTGGATTTCTCTGCATCCCAGTACATAAACTGGCCAGTAGTGGAGTTGTAGTAATACTGAGAAAACAGTTCACATTGTAAGATTTATTGACGGGGCACATTTTTTTTTTAAATTAAGGAAATATTGAATATAATCAAATAACATTTACAACACAGACCTGTGAGTTGGCATCATAGTAAAGCTGTGTCAAGGGATCATAATAGTAACCAGAGGTTTCTTCGTATTGATAACTGGAGGTATCAGGTGTTGCTGTAAGGTACAAATTTAGATATTTTTTTTGGTCAGAAAAGCAAAAATGATAATTAACTAAATGTTTTTTTCAATTTATAAAACAGTTTATCTCATTATAAAAGCATAACAGACCCCTCTATTTTTCATTTAACACTTAGTTGTATATATATATATATATATATATATATGTATATGTATATATATATATATATGTATATGTATATATATATATATATATACATACACACACACACACACACACACACATATATATATATATATATATATACACACACACACACATAATATAAGAATATCACACACCTCTATTTTTTTTATATCACATAGTTTTATATATATATATATATATATATATATATATATATATGTATATATATATATATATGTATATGTATATATATATATATATATACATACACACACACACACACACACACACATATATATATATATATATATATACAACCACACACACATATTTACATACACACATATGTACTGCAAATTTTTTAAATGTACTATTATTTTTATTTGAAATTGTCTACTTACGATAAACTGGATACTCCACTCCATTGACCGTTACAGTTTCAGAAGCTGAGGTTCCTATTATTTTCTTTTGTATCTGTTGCACATAAGATTAAGACAATTTGATAAGTTCAATTGGCTCATGTTATTAATTTAAAACAAAACAAATTTATAATTTCATGCTTGCAATACTACGATCTGAATCAAAGTTAAAAATAAAACTTGAACACCATGACCTCTCGCAATACAATAGCAAAAACAACTGTAAATATATTGAAATCAATTTAGTTATCTAATATGTTGAATAAATTTATCGATCTGGCACATTCAAAGACTCATGTTAAGGTATCTATTTTAAGAGTCTAACTAATAACTCACCTGCTTTTGGAAATGTTTAGCAGCTTGAGCTTGTTGAATAGCAGCCTGGGCAACAGCTGCTGCTGTGTTAGTCGTGTCTATAAAAAAAAGTACTGATAAAATATAAACTAAATGGGGACAAATTAGAATAGATAGAATAGGTTCCATGATTTTTAACATCCTTTAAACAATGCTAGATAACTCTTTAATTCATCATAAATTATTATAAATGAACTATTATTAAAATTACATAAATGACTCACTTTCCCCCTTTGAAATAGCAGTTGCGCTTAAACCACTGCTTGATGAAGAGGACCCTTGACCATACAATTGTGAATATTCATAGTACTGATGTGTTACAGGATCATAGTACTGACCATTTTGTTGGTAATAGTTGCTGTCGTAGTACTGGGAAAAAATTACAAATTTAATTTTATTATAGTAATTCTGTAATTCAAGCAACTAAAATTTAAAAGAAATTAGTTAAATATTTGAACTTTTAAAAGGATGTAAAGAGCAAAACACAACTTACCTGAGTCTGTGACTGTTGTTGAATATATGCCATACTGAGGAAATTTTGAAAGGATAGTTATAATAATTCAAAAGTAGTTTCAGGATTCTTTCTGACTATAAGTATTTAGAAGTTTTAAAAAAACCAATGTATGACAAAAAATATTGTAATTTTCCTGAAAACGTTCTTCCTTCCATTTCTACTAAGGAAATTTATTGTTAAATTTCATGCTACAATATTGTGATTAAGTAAGACTTCACTATATGAATAATATAACACGTACTTGAAAAGGTTTACAAACTTAAGTGGCAGAAGTTGATTTCTGAAGATTTTTTACTCACGTTGTGTTGTATGTGTTTTTAGCATAGTTGATTAGTAATTGCTTTCCATCCACTTCTAACGGGGGATCCATTTTATTTAGAGAATCTAATACAATTGTTGAGGCAGACACAGATGGAAATTCTATCAACCCAAATCCTCGTGAAGTTCCCAGGTCATCCCTTATTACTGCAACATTTTTTATGGTTGCTAAAGGAGTTGGGGCAAAAGCTTGGGTAAGAGCTGTAACCAGCGCCTCTTCTGTTGTCAGGGCATCAAGTCCACGAAATATCAATGCTAAAATTAGAAGATAGCAAAATACAGAAATAATTTTAAAAGAATAATCAAATTACAATTTATAAAGCAACTTTTTAAAATCTCAAATATTAACTTACTATTGCAAGGATTCGTTCCAATTTCATCTTGCCCATCAGAAGACTTGCCTTTTTCAGACTCTGTAATTAAAAAAAAAATAATGTTGATTTCTAAAATAATAATTAAGCTGTTCCAGGATTCCTTGTGTTGAAACATTTAGACAGCGCAGAATATTTTGATAGGAGGGCAGGGGCCAGTCAAGTGCTGTAATTTGTTTCCCTCCTATTCTCATTCAAGGTTGCAAAGTCATGTTATGAATTGCTTTTTCTCATAGAGACTAAAAGCTAAGAAAGAATGCACAGCTGGTAACAAGCATACTCGTATCATTTACTAAATGAGAGCAAATATTAAAACATTTGCAATTTGTCTTTTTTAAGTACTACCTCATGTATTTGGAGTGTTAACATTCAATTAATATTTTGGAAAAAAGAATACTCAGCTGCGCACTTGCTGTCAATTCCTTTGAAAACATTTACAACTTACCCTTGCGAGAAAGGTTGCAATTATAACAGAAATCTCTGCGCTTGAAATTGTGACTCAAACACTGGAATTGAAATGGGGCAAATTTTTTTTTTTACACAAATGTAGGATATCAAAGAAAGAACACTTCAAAGAATTTATGAGTGCTTAAGTTATTCTACTATTATGATTTCATGGTTAAGAGGAAAAAAAAGAAGAAAAACATGCCCATTTGCATTTAAAACCTTACCTTTATGCAAACCCAATCATTTCTTTGAAGATTGCTATCTCTGCCCCCACCTCGGTCACGAGTAACACTGTATGCCATAACAGCTCGATATTGGTTTAATAGCACAAGGTTGCCCTGTAAAACACAAAATATTGTTTCACTTATTTATTTTCTTATTTAAGTACAACACCATCCAGCCCATAATTTCTTTACATGTGTTCACAGAATGCAATAAAAGCCACGCCGCGAGGCGAACAGACAAGTGCGTGTCACATGAAATAACTCCAATTATAGCACTAAAATAAAATCTCATGATTTTACTTCAGTTGCAAAGAGCTCCAATGGGAAAAAAAAAAGTTAACTTGTAATAATTTGGCAAATGTTTAAAACTAATCCTTTTCACTAGATATCTTAAAAATAAGAATCATGGTAAAAATGTGTTTTTTCAAAATTAAAATTTCAACTACACTTTAAAAAGAAACTTCTGCATTTGGTTCATAATATTTCTCACACTCAGCTTATAAGTCATTAGAGTAGTCAGGATTTGATAACAGTACACATTTCATGTTATTTTAAAAGAAAATAACACAAAAGACAAGTGCAAATATTGCATTAATGACATCTACTTTGAAAAAGCAACAGCAACGTTGCCCTGCACACCACCCAAACCAGCCAAAAAGTCAGCATTTCAAATAACTACTTCACTAGGATTTTTTTTTCAATATTGGTAAATCCAGAAGATAAACAGACCAACCAAAATGTAGAATAAGTGTGGAGGTTGTAGCAACCACCTACAATCCACAGCACTTTATTTCTTTGTTTTTTGTTTTTTTTTAGTTTATCAACCTGTGTGTGTTCCATCCAGCGCTGGGCATCTGCTACGTTATGAAACTCCACAAAAGCAAAGCCTCGAGAGACACCTGTGTAAGCAAGGTTGAAACGAAGCTTGTTAAATAAAACATTCAAACTTCAATAAAATTCAACTGTTTGCGGAACCAACTGAGAAGGATGACTTACCGATCAAAACCATTCAAGTAAACTTACCTTCGTGTATTCCATCCAAAGATTTAAATACAAGAATTTTTCAGATTTGATTTGCATATTTAAATCAAATTTGTCATCTTTATAACATATTTTCAGATTCAATGGAAAAAGAAAGGCCTACTAGACATTATTTTTAAGTTTTTGAAAAAAACACTAAAGAGCTACAGAAGTGCCAATATCCTGTAACATACTTCAACAATTAAGACTGATTCTTTCAAAACTACAATATCTGATTTATTATTTTAAAAAACTTTCCATAATTAGAAAACATTTTAAGTAATTTGCTCTAAAAAAAATTCAAACATTTGCAAAGCAGACTGCTGGTTTAAAGTAATATGTTGTAAGAAAAGGGAAAAAAGACACACAAAAAATGACAAAACAAGTTGATTATCTCTACTAAACAATAATTTACCTGATGATCTGCGTATAAGTCGTATATCTTTAACAGGCAAACCAAGCATCATCAGCTCAGCTCCTATCTGAAAATCATAGAATTCAAACTTTTCAAAGACCATGTGCGTACAACATTTTAAATTTGATACTATTTTCTGAAAACCAAAGAAGTTAAAACTTAAAAAACAAGGAAATGTACGTACAATTTTTTCATCAATGTCTACATGCAGTCCTCGTAGAATGATAGTACGTGAGGGCTGATTGCAAACCCATTTATCACCACCTTTATCTTCTGCTGATCGAGATGACTCTCCTCGAGAGTCTGAGTCACGGTTTCGGAATCTATCTGATGAGCCACTGTTGCTTCTGTCACCATCTTCTGAAACCTAAAATTGAGGCACACATTTATTTCAGAAATATGATAGAAACTGCACATAATTTAAACCTTGACACAACTGATCTTTAAAATTGTGACAATTTTTAACCATGACGAACATACTTTTAAAAGTTTTTCAACTTACTGGACTTCTGTCCCTGTTACCACTTCTATCCCTGTGTCTTCCTGAACGACCAGAATCACGTTCTTGACTCCATTCACTCCTGCTCTTGTCTCTGTCACTCCTTCGCCTCTCCCTGTCCCTGCACAACAACAAGACTTTTTTTTTATATAACAGGAGTTCAACGGTAGCAGTTTACCATAACCATTTAGCAAATTTTCAAGTACATTAAAAAATAAATTTACTTCATAATCCTTAAATCTTTCTGCAAAATTAACAATACAACGGGAGATGATAATCAACAGACCTTCCACGATCTCTGTCATCACGACTTCTGATGTCTCTTTGTTCTCTATCTCTATCTCTTCCACGATCTCGTCCCTGGAATCCGCTATCAACTCCTGGTGGTAGTGGTTCTATGCGATTAATCAGATCAGCATGACGATTATCTGCATTGCGAAAATCAGGATTGATGCCAAAATTTCTAGATGGATCATCAAATCCAGTATTGAACCCATCAAAAGAACTGTTGAAATTACCAGGAATGTGTGAAAGGTTGACTGGCTTATTTGGGAAACCTGGATTCCCCCCAAATAAGGAATTCATATTTCCATGAAAAAAGGCCATGGTATGCGCTGTGGAAAAAAGTAAATTACAATAATTATTAGGCTATCTGTAAAGTTTCGGCTAAATCATAGAAATAGCAGATTTATGTTATGTTTAACCGACTACTGCTTAACTTACTTTGAGCGTAAACTTCCTCTCCTGCATAAGCGAGCACATAAATATGTTTTACATTTTATGTTTGTAAGTAAAGAAATTAAATATGAAACATGAATTTTATTTTACTATGGTCGTTTCGACATAACTAACAGCAAGGGTGAGTTTCTTTTTTCATTTATCTTTTGAACCTGGTAGGTTGAATTTCATAGAAACAAAATAGATACTTCATTTTAATACATTCCATATAAACTTTATACATAATCAGATTTAGTTTATAATCGCATGAAGAATGCTTAACTCTTTCCATGCCATTCCACGTTATATCATCGATTTGAATGGCAGCATTTGTGCCAATCGAGGATACACAGTCGATTTAATTTCTGCAGTTTATTTTGCTGCTTACGGCTATCAATCCTACTTTTTAGGCTCCTAAATGAACGAAAGATCTTCCTACTTCCTTCCTGCTAAAATTAGGGTTTGTTTACACTTGTTTTTCCAATAATTGCGACACTTTTTTTTCGATTTGTGTTGAAACTGTGGTAAACTAAAAAATGGCCACACCTACTTCAAGCACATCAGCTGTTGCTAGAACCTGTAGTTTGCACGTTTGCAAACAAAAGAGCTTTTATTGCCAAATATTGATGCTGAAACATCAGACAATAACCATGAATCACTTGAATCTGATTCCAGTGATGATTTTCAGCTATCTGATGGTTCAGTATATGCCAAATGGCAATAGAGGTGGTGATAGCAATAGTGGTGACAGTCGGCAATTTGGTAAAAATTTCAAAACATTTAAAATAAATATAAATATATCATATATGAGTGTATATTGCCATTATCTTAAAAAATAAAATATTTGTGTGCTAAATGGTGCACAAATTCATGAAGCTAAATACACAAAGGTTATATTACTCTTAAATAAATCATAACTCCACTTCTATAAAAAGATAGATATATGAACCTGGTGCTTTTGGGAAACTTTTAGTTTAGCCCTTAAATTAACATTTCAGCCATAAGTACCTTCTTAAGTCAGAGTGTTGGGATTCCCCAAAGCGACATTACTACGCTTAAGGCAGGGTAAGACAACTCTTGAAAAAGCCCACACTCATAGCATTACACCACAACCCCTTTACATCCATAGGCCTGGCCCTTACTGGGTCTTAGCCTAAAGCATGAGACTACGTAAAGACAATTAATTATGGGCCTAAAGTCAGTTTTATTAAGTTAAGAATTAAGTATTATGCATTTCATTGAAATAAAATTGACCTCTTTTCCCCCATGAAATATTGGCTAATATTCAGGCGCTTAGAGATACTCCAGCAGAGATACTGATCTTCCATCGAGTGCGCCCCCCCCCCCCCCCCCCCGGTGGCAGATAGGAGAAACACCACCAAATATGGCGGGTACCGCTGAAATAAAATACCAGAGGAGGACCTAAATCAGAACCTGCTGCCTTGTAGGAAGTGGAGGGATCCACAAAGACAAGGGACCTGACAAATACAAAGGCAGTTACCTTGAGAGCTGCAAGGGGCATCCCCCCAAAAGGTTGTACGCAGGGCTGACGACCCCATCATAAAAAAAAAAATGTTACAAAAGTTAAATCACAAAAGAAAAAAACTGATAATTTTTTATTTTTGAGATATGCCTGGACAAGACTATAATTTACGCATGGCGAGCTGGAATGTACTGAGCTTACACAGAACAGACACATTAGCCAGCAAAGACATCAGTGAAACCTAGGGGCAGATGGCTTACCAGTCTACCAAGACAGTAAGACAGGTTTACGATGTAGAGAATGACTTACACCAGCTGGGGGTCCACGCATGGAGGCGGAAAGCCATGGATTGATTCGAATGGAAGAATCTGGTGGAACATTCCATGGCCCTACATGACATGAGGCTATGGCCATAGCATCAACCACTCAGCATTGATGTGATGATTAGACATTTATATCCTAGACCTTTTAAAAATTTGTAGCCAATGAATAAGACTTTTTTTTTTAACTTGTTGAGGCTGAGACTTCAAAGTCTTTTGTTACACCCTTTGTATTATTTGTAGGAAACAGTATATGTTGTGATATATTTTGGATTTCAATCATAATTTTGTATCTCTACAAAATTATGATCTACCACTTGGGCGCCGGCTACGAAAAAATCCAGTAAGTGTGATAGGTAAAAAATTATGTGTTTTAATGACATTGTAGGCTCCGTATTCATTTCAGAACATATATAATACACATAAACTAAGGCTTTTTTTTTTTTTCTTACAGAAACACTAAAACATTTCCAACATTTAAAAAAAAAATTATAATTTAACAAAGTGGATCAAAAAATTTTTGTTGCTACAGACCTTACATCATCTCAAAATCATACAATTAAGAATCTTAATAGTAAATAAATAAACATGCAGTACTGGTATATGTAATGTATACAATAACTACTCACATCGCAGTGTCTAATAGGATTGAGGTTGTTTTGCAGACATGTATCTACTATAGGCTATAGATATCAATTAATATTTAGGTGTATGTGCAGATCAGAAGTCAGATAAGCATAAATTAAAATTTATTGAAATAAGAATTAATTAAATTAGGGCGCTTAAAAAAACCCAAACTACCATGTAACTTGAAGTTTATTTTTTAGGAAAAGCAAATTAAAAAAATAAAAAAGGAAGAGGAAGCATCAATATCCCGTAGGCATATTTCCCGTTAACATATTCAAGTCTGATAACTACCAAAAACTGTAAATGGGTGACAGGAAGAGGGGGATAAAAAAAAAATTGTATAACTGTTAAGTGCGTTCTAAAAATAGATTTCAAAGGCCCTTTCAGATCATATATGTCCAAATCTAATGTTGCATCACGGAATAGTGATGAATACATCTAGTTATCTCTGTTTCTGGCATAGCCCAACAAAATATATGTCACAAGCACGTTGGACATATGGTGGACTAAATTTTTAAAACTACACTGCAACACTTTGACAATAGTTCCTACAAAACAATGCATCATATTTTTACAGCATTCGAGATATAAATAGATTGCTATTTTGGACTTTCAGGATGCTTATTAAATTTTTGAATGATGCACGTACTTCTGCCGAGACCCACATCTCCCTTTGCACGCGTAGACAAAGCTATTTAATCGACAACCCCCTTAGTACGTTAGTATGGCCTCAGATTGAATGATTTAAAATGTCATAAGTGCCACAATGCAAATATTATTGTAGCCATGTCTAACGAGTTCATTATAGAAACACATTTCAACAATAGGACCATCACCGCTATCAATATGAAATGTTAGGATGTTAATTTTTAGACTTAAATATTTAGGTGTCCCCCGACACAATCTCTTAAATCAATACCACTCCATTCCTCTCGGGGCAACCGTAACAGAATTATAGATTGTCCCAAGCCAATCATATTAATTTATCAATTCACTGTTTGATGTAGAATGCAAATGCAATTTAAAACTATTAGAATTTAATTAATTATTTTTTTTTAATGCAAATGCAAGTTAAAACTATTAGAATAATTTTAATTAATCTTTTTTTTTTAAATCGGAAAGCTACCGAAATGTGTATATTTTCAACCTTGTCTCCAAAAATCCTAGTTTTCACAGGTCTTGGCGTACAATCTTAAAATCGTACATTATACACCTAAATCGTAAGAGTAAACAGGTCTGTCGCTACATCACACTCAAGTGTTCGTATATTCCATTTCTGATTTGGTTTATATTGGCATAAGCCGTCCACTGGTCTGATAAAAATCACTGAGTCTGGAAGAACATATTTATATTTCTAAACACTATTGTAACATGATCACACGTCAGTCTGGCACTTCGATGATTTAACAGCACTCACTCTCTCTTCCTACGCCACTGAGAACCTAGTGACCCCACATCCACTGTGGTAATTCATGAGAAATAATAATTCTTTAAATAATACTTCCAACTGGATTTTTTTTGTAGCCGACGCTCAAGTGGTAGATTATCATATATTATATACCTAAGAATTTCTAACTAATTTTGTGTGTATGAAAAGGCAATAAATTATGTAGGTCAAGTTGTCCACTGTAAAGTAAAAGTAAAGGTATGATGGATGAATACAACAATTTTATGACAAAATTGTCATTTCAGCATTGAAAAGGCAGCAACATCCAAATATTAAAAATTAAGGCTGGTTTAGAGTAAGCGATAAGGCCGACGATGTGTTACATGGTACATAGGTCACTGAGCTTTCCCCAGGTCCATTTCCATCTACAACGCAGTCTACAGTGCCAAACTAAAAAGATTTCGATGTTTGTATTTACATAGTGCAAGTTACTGTTTTCCGATTTTATATTTCTTTTTAAATTGGGGAGGGGTACTGGGGAGGGGGTCTCCCCTCCTTCCCCAGAGAATTTATATGTTTCTTATTTTGGTATTTAAAGTGAGGGGAGGGGTCTCCCCTCCCCAGGTCCTAGATTATCATTCCAAATGCAATTTAAGTAGTAGTCTTCCTTTTGTTACCTACGTTCAACATACGGGTATTTTGATTTCAACTAATCAAAATACAGCAATATTGGCGGGCACATTTTTTTTCACCGGTGTTCGGTCTTGGGGTATCAGCAAGGATGTGTTTCTCTTTTCCTTTCTTTTGAAATGTGTAAGTTGAATTTTAATACAAAGTAATGGGAAATTGCATTTGAATATTACTTCATATTATTAACTGTATCATTTTTATGACGCCAGCAATGCTCAATAAAGAACAGGAATGTTTTAACAGTTACAATAACACTGAACACACATCGTTCGGGTCCTTCAAAGAACAGATCTATTCACCCTAAGTCCAGAGTTGGGATTCTCCAATGTGACATCACTGCGCTTAGGGTGAGAAAACTCTTAGCGCAACCAATACCATTAACTCAAAATTTGGCTAATTTGGGGAGATAGTACCCTGACATCATTTGCCTGTCTTGTCCTTAGTTCCGATAGGGTCAAAACCCAGGTTAGGGATAAGTTTAGGTATACATTTAGGACATAAATTCGCGGGTCGCCACAACCAAGATGGCAGCCGCGGTACTATCTCTCCCAAATTCACCCTAGGTCAAATTAATATTTAAAAAATGTTCGATTCAACTGTTACTGTTCCTGACTGACGGCTGACGGACAAGACAGTTGAGTCGGTACAGTCAGTATGAGTAGTATTTATGTAAGATACTAAAATAAAAGATTGAAAAGCATTATATCTAGAAGGACACATGAAAATAGATAAACTTACTACTATGTCATGAAATTACTCAAATTTCTTAGTGATTATGAATCATTTATGACTGGTTTAACAATAACTAAATTTTTTTTAAAAATTCAATGTAGTAAGGAAAAAATGTCGCGTTTCACGTCTCTTCCGCTTTTAGGTTTTGTATGCCAGATAGTTTTTATCACATAAAATCAAATGAAAATTACAACGACAGCGATTCCAGGAATAATAAATAAATTACTAACTACTTCTTTGAAGCAACCAATCTATCTAACTATTTAAGTCCACACTGAAGATGGAAAATATTTCCAATTTTTAGTATACAATATGTATGTAACAAATATGTCAATTGCCATAAACATATAATTGATTCTAGCACTGGTAACATAAAATTGCTAAATAGTAAATAGCAATCAAAATCGACATACATCACATAATCAAATATTTAAAAAATTAAATCCACATTAAATTAAAAGCCTTAAAGAGACATTTTGAAAATAATAATTTGATTAAAAGTAGTTAAATCATTTTAAAATCTAGAGAACCATTGGCATTGTGGTATCTTAGCTGTGAAAATTTACAACACATTGTCATAAAAGAATTCACAGAATAATATGAAAAATAAAAAGCCCCATCTGGCAATTTATTTTAAGAAAGGGAATTGTGGGATGGCATAATTTGCCAATAACTTACTCGCGTATAAGTTGCACCTATCATATAGTTCGCACCTTTAATTTGGGTTTGTCATAGTGTAAGTTTTTTGCCCGCATTCTGCATATAGGTCGCACCATTAGTTTGGGGAGTAACATGGCATTTTTAACAGACATCACAAAAGTCTCCATAATTTTTTTTTTACGAAAAGCAATCGTCATAACCTAGCCTAAGTGAATACAAAACATAATGAAAAAACAAATTTAAAACTGATAAAAAAAAAAGAAAACTTTCTATCAAAGATGAACTGTTACGCACTTGATTCTATTGTGAGAAATTAATCTCCTATTTTAAATTTATGGCTCGTTCAAAACAGTGCATAATAAAGGAAGATACCATATAGAAGTGCATTAACAAAAATAGAACACCTTGAACCGTGCCAATTAAAATTAATAAGATTTAATTTAGTAATAATACAATTATAAAATAAAAGAAATATAATTACAAATCATCAACTTACAGTATGGTATATCTTTTACCGGTACACAGTTATCACAGCTAGTACAATGAATAATGATGAATGATCAATGCGAATAAACACAAAGAATAACACAAGTCTCGTGAAGGTAAAAATATCTATCTGAATCTCCGTCTCTCCGTAACTGACACTCCTTTATATACATGTAGCGTAAGATGCTTCCAGAAAAGAATTATGACGTGTTGTTTACATTTCTCGGGTTATCGGGAAGATTAGACCAGATACCAGGAGACATACTAAACATGTTTAATTGGTAAACACGACAGATCAAAAGAACTAGCCCCGCCCACAACAAACGCTACCATCCGCTAGGGATCTAATGTGGGGTGAAACAAAGTTCAAGCACGGGAAAAAAGTGTACTACATAACATGAACGCATTAAAAAGTAAAGAACAAATTAAGATTTCTTAAAATGCATTATTCATTATGCAAAGAAAAACTGTGCAGAATTGTAGATGTTAACTCTATGAAGCCAAAGGATTCTAACATTGAATTTAGACGTAACTTAAATATATCTTATCTTATTAAATTTTTAAAAAAATATATTTTCTGCACAGACTTTCTTTAACTTTTTTCCAATACTTTTTAAGTGTTAAAATTTTAAATTTTTAAATTATAGACAAAAGTAGAATTATTTACTTTTTTGAACGTGAAATGCTTACAAAAATCCTGGTTAAGTTTACTTAACTCTTTACCCAGGTACAAAACTAAAAAGTAGATCTGAGTTCACCCATCCAACCGACGAAGCAGAGTGGGTCAACCACGATAATTTGATGGACAGTATGAACCCACCTCAGTTGACCCTGTATTCTTTTCCAGCCTTTCACACGGTGAACACTGAACGCGAAAGATTCAAACTTAAAATGTCACATGTTTTGGGGGGGGGGGGGGGGATCCTCAAGATGAAAATGCTATGCACCCCAAGAGTTTCAATCGAGAGTTTCAAGGCTGCCCTGGTACCCGCTAGGAGCGGTTAGGATAGCCGCATCGTTTCCCAAACCGTTGCACATCTGCCAGTGCATTGAGGCAGCAACGTAGTCTATCAGAATCAAATAGCAGGTCTTTGATGATAAAACAAGGATTGCCATTTGGTCGGGTGTACTTGAAACAGTAAGCGAAAAGAGTAGAAAAAATGTGACCAATACCCAAGTATAAACGGTAAATGGTTCATTATTGCTTTAAAACAAGATAATATTATCATAGAAGATTTCTAAAAATGCATTACCCCAAAAAAGTATGTGCAGAATGGTAGTAAGGAACTCTATGAAGCACTGGTGTTGTAAGGGGGGCGGGGGAGTTCCGCACTTGGTGGCACTTTTTTCTTTATTTAAGACTAAGGGTAATAAGGGGAGAGACTTCTGTCACAATTCATTTGCTGCCCACTGATACTACCTCTAAGCTAAGTGCTATTTTTTATTTGTATACTGTTTTTTTTTTCTGTTTTGTTCGCTAACGAAGGCTTCTTGCCGACACGTTCGTTGTTTTGTTGCGTTCCCTTTTTTCAGGTTTAACCCTAATTTGTTTTACTCTATTTAAGAGTAAGCGGCATTTTAGCGCAAAAGACACAAGGAATATTTTAATTTGACTAACAATTACTATTTTAAACTTTTACTCCGCCCCTCCTCGTCACGACTATTTACAGCGGACTTACTTCTGCTCTTTACTTTTCCTTTTTGCCTGTATTTAATATCTCACCTATAGTCCGCCACACAGTAGTGGCAAAAATACTTAAACATCCCATGTACTAAAGATACTTGCCAAAACATGCATTCAAATAACGTACTTTATAAGATTTCCAGTTAGTGCTACTACTGGTACCACCCCCCACCCCCCCACCCCCCCACCCCCCAATTTTTTTCAGTACGCCACTCCCCTGAACTATATTAATATTCTAATGCCCCACCCCTCTTTCATACCGCAGATTTATTACACCAGGTAATTTCGTAAAACAAAAGAAAATATTACACACCAAATGCACTTGCGGCATTTTACAGAATCAACCTAATTTAAAGCAACTATCGGGAAATGTTTATTTTGAGCGCTATTGAACCCAACAAGAACATCAATAATTGTCTAGTCAATTATTTGCACCCACTGTCAGATGTCGTATATAGAGGGGACAGGACGCCGACTCTTTGACAGATTTACTGAACACCTCCGTTATATTACGCAAGATTAGCAGCCTAGTGTCCCGTCTATAAACACTTTAATAGAAGCGACCACAAAGGGGTGGGGGATTTTACTTAAGTGCCATCGTGATCTGCACAAAGACAGCAAATCGGGTGAATTTGCAAAAGAAGCTGATCCAGAATGATGGAACCTTAACACCACATGGCATGAATGTTATGGTCTCGTTCACCCTTTAAACCTTTGCTCCGCCCCTCCTCGTCACGACCATTTACAGTGGACTTACTTCTGCCCTTTACTTTTCCTTTTTGCCTGTATTATCACCTACTTATTTTCTATCACAATCTTCTTGCTGCCCTCTCGAATACTACATGACAGCTAAGTGTTATTGTTATTTAATTCTGTTTTTATTGTTCTTTGTTCGCTGATGAAGGCTTCTTGTCGACACGTTCGTTATTTTTTTGCATTTTTTCCCAGGTTTTCCCATTCTTTATTTCACTCATCTTCTTCTTTGCTAACCTGATAGCCGTCTGCCCACTCTATTAGAAAATACCAGCTAATCAGATTAAGAGCGACCCCTGGTGAAAACTAAAACATGATGAACAGAGTATAGTGACACAAATGAGAACAGTGTCCCAATTAACTGATCAATATAATTTATCAAACCAAAACAAAGTTCGAAAGGAAAATAAAAATAAGACAATCTCAAATTGTGGCAAACAATTGTATGCATTTCGCCACGTTGGCTAAACACGGTCCTGTGAACAACACAAAATATGCAGCCTTTCTTTTGGATTTGATGGCGGCTTTTAAGATTTCCTGAAAAAGTATCAACATTTTATATATTCGCGACTCTATTTTCAGTTACCATAACATGCTACCTGCCAATTTTCTGCAATTTGACATTCAACTTAAAGAATTATTTGATCACGTCTCTTTACATGACTTCTATGAGATACTGGTATATATTCTCTTATAAAAAATATATATTCCTTAGCTTCACAATAAGGCATTTTTTTCTCTCCTGTAATCGCTCGTCTGAGGCACCTACATTTTTTTTCACCCTCCCCTACCCCCCCTTTTTTTGTTGTTGCTCCATCAAACCAGGTAACCGGAACCGTAGCTCTCAGACCGTATCCGTAGCTCAGATGTGACCTTACAGGTCACCACGAGCCAGTCGGGATCAAGCTTTGGCGAGACGGTCACGTGTGACAACAAAGTTTAATGCTAGAAACAAACTCGATGGATTTGAGTTGAAAGAAAGACTTTTTAAACATATTATTGCAATTTTGTGCGATCCTATGCTATGGATTAATTGAAGCTAATTTCAGAGAGGTAATTTTCTTATTTCTTTGTAAATTAATGGCTTAAGGAACGTCTATGACTATGATTACTATGCATGATAAAATTATTGATACTTAAACTTAAATTAAGTAATTCAAAGTAATTGACTCTTATTATGAAGACAAGACAATTGACAATGTAAATTAATTTTGTATTGTAATATACATACTAACAATATAACACATATATATATATATATTCTAAAATTAAAATGCAAGGCAATGGGCAGTGGGGGGGGGGGGGATGGTTACCAAATTACCGGAAATTCGTTTGAAAGAAATTTCGTGGACGGAAAATTGATCGAACGGCCGAACGGAAATATGGTCAAATAATTTTTTTTCAGTTCTCAAGTTAAAATTTTCGTCAATTTTCTTTTTGAACGCACTATACTATTAGTATAGTAAAACAAAGCCTTGGGCTATTATTAATAAAAATTATTTAAAAGCCATGGCCATTGAAAATTTAATTTAGGGCAAAGTTCCTTCTTTAATCTTTATTAGCTTGCTAAG